TCAAACAACCTTTGTGTCCAGAAATTAGTTCTCCTGGAAATCAGACTCTTGAAGAACTTTTGAGCCCAAGGGAGAAGGGCAAGAAAGAAAATTCCCTTCACTTTCAACATGTTTGGGCATTTCTATGAGGAAAACCCTAAGCCAATAAAGATGATAGCTAGGCTTTGCAAAAAAACGAACAAGCAAGCAAACAAACAAACCACAAAACTCCCACCTCTTTCCTCAGAAGCAATGACTTCTATGAAAGCGTTAGTTTTGAAGTTGTATTGTGCGTCAGACAGTGACAGAACACTGGATATGAAAACCACGTCACCGTAAATGCACTGCCAGGAACATCCCCAACACCTAGCACGGCGGCCTTCTCCCCCACGTCTCAGGGCACCGGAAACCCCAGACCAGAAACACAGCTCTCACATGTGGAAGCAGATGACAGGCTGATTGATTATTGTATAGCAATAGTACTTCCTTTCATCCCAACTACGTGACCATCACTAAAGCAAAGCTTTGGCAATCTACAGACAAAACTCACTTTGCTGGTTGATGTACCAGTCGTTAGGCAGGAGTTCCAACTCCCCTAAGGAGGTACCTGGGCTAAGCCGTTCCAACAACACTGTTTTGCCCAATCATTGTATCTCATGGATAGAGCATTCAAGAAAATGTAAAATTAAAGACCAGGTCTGCTAACTTAACGTCCTTGATACATTTTGTTAAGATAATCAGAAAGGTACACCATAAATATCTCAGCAAATTACTGACAACCAACCTGAATAAAAATTAGACTGACATAAAATCTGAAGTGTCACAGAGAATCTGAAGAATTCTTCAATAGAAGTGTTTAGTTCACCTAAGAGGTTAATTTTCTCAGTATTGACCGAGCAGAATGATTTCTTTATATGCCAATCATTCATAGTAACAGCCGGCAATTCACCTTGAATAGTGGACCCAAATCACGACTTATTTTGCTAATATTTTAAAGATTACCGTTTTCTTCTTCCTCCTCTTCCTCCTCCTCCTCCTCCTCCTCTTCCTCTTCTTCATCCTCCACATCTTCTCCATCCTCGTCATCGTCCTCATCCTCCTCCTCGATCTCCTCCTCCTCCTCCCGGTCCCCCTCCTCATCCTCCTCGTCCTCATCCCCTGGCTCCTCATTGTCCTCGGAGTACTCCTCCCCCTCATCCTCCTCCTTCTCGTCCATGTCCTCAGTCCCATCACTGTCATCACACTCGTCCACTGAGGAGCTGTCTGCTTTCACGGCAAATGGCTTTCGTTTAGGAGCAGGTTCCTGGGGCTGTTTATCTTGTGTTTTTCTTTTTTTCGCCAAGGGACAACCATATACACTAAAAAAAAAAAAAAAAAAA